GCCCCTCCCACCACAACATTGCTAAAGCAAAGAAGAACTCAGCTAGCATGCTAGCTTTCGTGATATGTACAAAAGCTTATATATGTAATGGACTGAAGGCACTACTGAAGGCCTTTGTCTGCCTCCTTGGTCGTAGCCCATTGGACATGTGCACCACTTCCCTTTCAAGGGCTTATGTTCGGATACTCGGGACGGGAGCTGCGGACGCAAACCGCGGCGATTTTGAGATTTGAGATCAACATATAGTATTATAGACCAACCTTATCCATATGATTATCTTCGAGGATGACTCTCTTCTGCCCCCAGCTGTCAAGAGATCTGGGCAGGAGCCACAGGAGCACCAGCAGGAGGAAAGGCGCCATGCAAATCTCGACATTGTGTCCTCGCCAGGGATCGACTACATCCTGTACACTCCAACCTTGGGACCAAGGCCAGCTAAAATCGCAGTGCAGTTTAGCCGTTTGGCTGAGCTTATGAGTCTTGATGGGTTGAGATGAGGGAAACTCATCCAAACAGGACTCAGCGATCAAAACCACATTCACAGGCAGTCGTCTTGCTGCAACCCTTCTGAGCACATTTCACACACGAGTCCAAACTTAAAGTAACCCAAAAATGTCCTTCAAACCTTGTTCAATTCCAACACAAATCATACATAACGGTCATGACACAACCAAATCTTTCCTTTCAATGCCCTTCTCTTGGCTCCAAACCACCTTGCCCAAACACCACGATCGCTCCTGCTGTTCGAAGGAGATCGCGTGCGGCGCTTGTGCCACGAAGGCGCGGAAGGCCTGGCGGCCTTCTCTCCAAGGGAGGTCTTCACCAAAGAGGCCGCCCTTCATAGTAAAGGCTTCGCAAGAGAGAGGGTAGGTAATACCTAGGCAGGTCGGTTCTGTGATTGTTTGGCCAATCGGTCGGTCGTTGGGATGGATGCTGGTTGGGAAGTTGGGATGCATCCAGGGAGAGGTGGCTACGAACAAGAGTACACAGGTAGTGTGAATTGTATATAATATATAATTACAGTACATGCAAGTAGAACAACAATGCAGTACAACATGGATATGGTGAGGACAAGTTGCTCGATCAAGGAATCTTTCTCTATCTTGAGTGACAGTGGATGCTGATGGTTGGCGATGGTTGGCAAAGGCTGTCAAAAATAGTGATGCATTGTTACCGACTGATACTGGTGGCAATGAAATGGGCCACACCCTATCTCCATCTCTTCATCACTGTTTCAGGAATAGCACATTGGATGTTTTGAAAGCGTTCTGCAGGCAGCTTTAGGGTCTGGTTAGGGAACCAGGAGCTCTACCACATCCGCAATAAAACTACATGCGTGAAATATATATATATAGAGAGAGAGAGAGATAAGATTTGATAAGTGGATAGATAGATTAAGATTGATATATATATATATAGTATATAAGAGTAGCTAGGTATGGCATGATGTTCTTGATTTTGGACATGTTCTTACATCGTGTTGCCATCTTATCTCCCAGGTTTGCATGTGCCATCTTACGGGGAAAGAGTATAAGACAAAGAAAGGTCTGTGGGCACTTAAACCGATTACTGGCTGAGCCCATCTGGCACATCAGAGTGCTAACTGCTCCGATTGGCATGAACATGACGCTCAATAACCAATCAACAAATCAAGTGTTTGATCACCTTCTAGGAAGCTATCTGTTGGCGTATGAAAATGGATGTGTGTGTTCGTCTGTCTGCACGTGCATGCTAATCTTTGTGTACTTACTCTGCACAGCTGCTCAAAAGAAATCAAAACCGCAGTTGATTGGCAGTCTGATAGTTGATAGGTGCATTCAACATGCATTCGGTGTCACAGTTTCGGCCTCGTTGCAAAGGCGAAGCGACGGTTCACTCTGTGTCTCTCAGCCTGTTTCGATCACCCCCAAGGGTCACTCAGGGCTGCGGGCTTATGGCTTTCAGGCCAAGTCGCTTGTGAAGAAAATATGCCGCGACGAGGACCCCTCATGGGGCAAAGGCAAAGACTCCAGGAAGCCATCTGGCAATCTTTGGCCTTCAGCCAACGCCACCAGGATGATAATGAAGGTCCTTGGCTGTGAAACATGGCAGGTTTGTATGGTATATTGATGGAACATCATATCATATCCGAACCAACCAAGCAGCTTTAAGCCCAAAGCTCTTTCTTTGTGTGGGGGGGCACTTGAAAACAAGTATCATTCAGTTGCTTGACAGACTTATTAAATTGGCTGGCAGCAGGCTTTTCATCAACAATGCCCCATGACAATTGTGAACATGAACCAAAAACTCGTCATCCAACCGTGTAAGATCTTCTACTGTTTCTATCGTCGGGGCCCTTCCCCGTTAACACGAGTCCCGACGTCGCACCGCCAAAGGAACGTGGTCAAGTGCCGCCACGCCAAGTGCCGCCAACAGCTTGCTGCCATGCTCGCATCGTTCACATCGTTCGTTGGTCCAAAACCCGGAGACCGACGGTGGCACGACCGGCGACCGACCGACGGAGTCTTCCGGGCACGACCGGCGACCGACGGTGGTCGGTCGGGGCTTTAGGTGTTGCCATGCTAAGTGTTGCGCGCGCCTGGTAGGCGGGTAAGTAAACACAGAAATCATCAAAAAGCAACTTGTCAGGGTATGATGCGAAGGGATGTGTTGAACCTGCTTTGGGGGTGCTTGCATTGAGCTTCGTTGACTTACAGCTGTCTGTAGATGTCTTCCTGCACCGGATATGGCGGCGTGTCCTGCATCGTCCACTATGAAATCTGTGAAATGATACAGTAGATCCAACGTAACGAAGCCTGTCATCTTCGAAGCACTGGGCGAATGTCTGTCGTGTCACCATATCGCATTACCACACACACACACACGTGGCAAAGCCGCACCCATCTTTCATATCCTACATACAGCACGAATGATACCACGACTTCTGCTGACTATGGCAAAACATTCAATTGGCTGGTCCAACAAGTGACCTCCAAAAGGGCAACAACATGCACCACATGAAGGACAGGTCACCTCCGGAGCCGTGTGAGCACGAATAGACATGAAAGTCTTTGTCAATTGCATGGCTGTTTATGCAAACTTACCTGGTTTGAGTCATGAATGTAGCCTGTTGCATCTGCCCGCCGAATTCACATCCACTTTGGCCCGCAGCTCACACGTAGAGTCTTTGCAAGGACTCATCTGCCTTGCTCCTCTCAGTGCGAGCAGCTTCGCCTCACGAAGAAGAGGAAGAAGAAGGGGAGCCAAACTGAACTCTCCGAACATCAATTGACAACAATAGGCCAAAGGGTCAAACAACTGAATGCATGAAACATGTATCACAATCCTGGCACAGGACTGCTGCCAATGCCAATATCTTACACCTCTGGTTTGTAGAGGCAAGTCGTTCTCCTGTTGCCATGTGGCTTTGTCCGAAGCGATCGACAGCCCCTTCAATCCGAGCATCGAAGATCTGCCATGCAGATACATCGCTTCCCCCCCCCTCCTCGGGCCGCAGCGCTGCCCTTGATGCGGCGCGAATGACCGCATTCCTGGGCGATGCAAGCAGAACGTCCACGTGTCCGAGCGTGACAAGCAGATCTGCAGGTTTGGTGCAGAATCCGTGATTGGTTTGAGGAATGTTCAAGCTAGGGCCCATATTCAGTGTCCTGCCTGAGCTCAAACATTTCCCAATCTGCTGTATGTGTGTACGCCGGGAACAGGCCATCGCACAGTTTAGCATGTGAACTGCAAGCAAAACACCCCTATCACTCTTGCCTAGTGGTTTGGGGAGTTGGCATGACACATGCCCAAGGTCCTTCAAATTCAAACCTGCAATCTACAGTGTGCATGGGGTAAAAGGACAGCAAGCACTGTGCCCCCAGTATAGAATATTCTATATTAAGTAGGAATATATATGTAATTATTAATACTAATACTACACTAGGGTCAAATGACTTTGGCCAAGTGCGTTGACGTGACATACAACTTTCCCAAGGAAAGGTCTAATTCATGTAGAAGTGTAGAACATTGTAAAACCTACAATTTCAGTGGCAAGCACTCATGACATAGGCCATTCCGACCCGGTCATCATCGTTGTTTTTGTTCGTGATGGGTCCTCTTCCTGGAAGATTAGAGCCAATGTCTCCAGGTTTTATCCATCGTTTAGATACCAAAGTCTTAGGTCATGATGCTGGTCAATATAAACTCTATTTAATATGTTGAAGATCGTTGGTGACAACCTCTGGCATCTCTTCTTTTGAGGCTGCTTCAAGCTTTCCTAGGGCCAATCATCATGACTTAGCCACATGAATGTTGAGGTATCTTTCACAACTCCATTGTCATTATAGTATATATATATATATATCGAACATGTCTGCTACCCTGCGTTTCTTGGACCTAGCCTATCTATGCCTACCTAGCTTTATCCATCCTACCTTACACCATGACGAGGAAACGAAACCTCGTCGCCCCCGGTGGGTTGACGAAACCTCCGCCCGAGCAGCTGGATGTCTCCACCCGAGAACTTCTCAAATTCCTCTCGCGCGCACGTGCGCGGTCGGCCGCGTGCCGCGACGAAGGCAGGCACGGTGGGGGGTGAGGTTGGGAGATGATCAACAACCCTTTGGAACCGGCTATTTTTAAGGGCTCTGCTTCGTTCAATTGTTTCGGAGCTGGCGGCTACCGCATGCTTCAGATTTGTAACAGCGCACCGAACTGGCGAAACCTGGTGAAAGCCTTGTTGTTCCACAATTTGGTGTTGGTTATCTCCTATCATCTCCTAATATCTCTTTCCTTGTTCGGGATTGAAATGGATTGAATATGCATTTTTGCTGTACATGTGTCCTTTCCAACAACTACTAAAGCATCATGAGACCTGTACTTTCCAGCTCTGAAAAGCTGAGCACGGCATCTTGGCATTTGCAAGTGCATCCCATGCCCAAGCCCTAGACCTCCACACCCTTTCATCTCTAAGAACTCTTAAATCCTCACCTCATCCATCCTCTTTCCATCCCCCCCACCTAGATCCAAGTGATCCAATTCCTCTGTTCTTCCAACCTGCTTCGCCTTCCTCTCGTCCCCCCCCCGGCCGATCGAGCCCGCTCCGAGGCCAAGGACTGCACGTCCACGTCGGAGCTCCGCGGCGCCAGCTTCGGCAGCGACGCGTCCCACAGCTGGGCGCGCGTCGCCCGGTCCGGCGGCGGGAACCTGCGGATCGAGCGGACAGGCGGCACCGGTGGGGGGAAGCCCGGTGCTCTTCTGTCTGTTTGTCTTCTCCTTTTTGGGCAAGACATGAATCTGATCTTATCTTTTCACCAAAAAAACATCAAAACACATCTTGAAATCTGGACAGTGGGGACTGGAGATGGCCTTGAAATATGGTTCTGCTGGGGGTGTGTAGCTCTATGTCAACCATATATATATATATATATATATAATTGGTCCCCAACTCACAGTATGGATAGAAAAAGATGACCAGCACCAAGAACTCAACGTGCTGCACTTCCATATCAATCTGGACTACGAACCAACAATAGAAAATCTGTTTGAGTTCTACCCCATCTGGAGAAGAAAATCCCGTCCAAGCCTTACCTCCCGTTGACAAGAGTCCAATATAATACTGCAAGTGACTCCACCATGAAGCGGAAGCGTCGGAAGAAGGCAGAATCAATAGCATCTCGAGCATTGGTCGTAAGAATGCATAGGCCTGGCTTGCCAAAGAATTTGCACATGAACAATCTGCTCGCCGTGAAGCTTCTGCTTTCTTGACCCTCCCACTTCTTCCCAGCCCCGTAGCCATCGTGGCAACGAACATCAAAACAAGCTCGTGATCGCCGCCACGCGCGTGCTGCCTGGATAATGCTCCAACCAGTAGAGCCTTAGCCAAAACGCCAAAACACCCAAAGAGTTGAGCACCGTCTCCTTTCAGCTGAGTATGGCTCGGATCAATCATTCAGCCCGGGCTGAGCATGGCAAAGGTGATGGAACATGACTGAAGGTGAGTAGCCGTCGGGGGTAAATGGTGTGCACTCGCTTAAGGTCACACTCATATGACCACCTAAACAGGGAAGCATGATGAGTATCACTCCAGGTGCTGCGGTTATGTAGATGGAAGGTGAAAAGGTCTGTCCCACGAACATGAGTGACTAAGATCCAACCAAAAGTAACTAAACAGTGAAACTTGTGTGCGACCACCGCCATGCGCAAACGTCTTTACACACAACTACTTCTTTCTGCATATATACATGTCAAAATCCAAACATCTCGAACGCTCCATTCCAATCGAACGATGACACGGGGCAGGAGCCCTGAATCCAAGTTGGAATGCTTGTCGACGCCTTGGATTGTTCCAATGTTGCTTCTCCAGACTCTGAAGCTGAGATAAATCACAAACAACTTTTCATGTCAAGAGATAGAGATGTATAAATCTAAGAAAACCTTCGATGACACTGTAGTAAAGTGCGCAAATCTTGTTATTTATCAGTTATAGGGGACTTTGATAGGACACAAAGGTTCTCTCCCCAAAATGTTGCACCCACTTAGAACCCAATCATACCCCATCCAAAGCCATGCACCAAACGCATCCAAAAGCTATGTTTGTGTGGGACGTTCGCAATGCTGTTTGTTCTTGACATTTCTTGACCGTCAAGTAGAAACAAACCATCTTCGCCAAGCTGCTGCTGGCCGCCTCCGCGTTCCGCCGGCCAAAGAGGCCTTCGGCCTCATCGAAGACCAAAATGGCCTCCATAGACCGCGCCTGCCGAGACGGGTTGGCAGGAGTTGGTGGTCTAGTGGATGGCCAAAATGGTGGGTTCAACGGTAGTGGTCTTGGTCAACGCCCCCCTACCTGCACGGATGATGTTTCACATCTCCAGGCCAATTAGTGTCAGGCCTGACTTGCCGATGACATCCGATGACCCCTTCCATATCTTCTGTCTCTGCCTCCGCGAAGACCTTTTCGATGTTCTTCCCAGTTTCTCCCACGTACCTGGGTCGCTCAGGATGTTCTCTCAGGCGGGGCCGCCAAACTCCACAAACTACACTGACTCACTCACATGGAGTGCAAAATGGCCCCCTTGAAAGACATTGGATTACTTTCCCTTCCGAACCACGGTGCCATCCACTTCCATGTTGGTGAGTCGGAGTGTAACGCCGCATCGTCTCTTTTTGGTGGCAGGTTTGAGCAGCATCAAGCGGAGTGTACCGATGAACTGTTCATCAAAAGCCCGGGAGGACGACCTTTAGTTGTTCGAACGAGCAGCTTGTCCACGATGTTGGCCGAGTTGACAACTTTCCTGAGTCTGAGTCAAGTGCGCTTATGTGTGCTCATAGTGTGTCAGGACTTGTATCCAAACATGCACCAACCAGCCGCGTTCGGTGCGGTCAGCCATGGGTGACAATCGAGACTCTTCCGAAGCATGGTGAGCCAGGCGATTTGGGCACCGAATTGCTGGACCTTTCCAGGTGAAGAGTGAGAACATGCTGCAATGGGAGCACCATGCTGCACCCATGCGGCGAACCTTCGCCCCGAAAAATCGGAGGATCCGCTCGCTGCCGAGCCACAAGGCACGACCCACTTCGAAGCCGATGGCCTGTGCTGCTAAGGACTTTCCAGTGCCCGGTGGACCGTAGAAGAGAACGCAGGAGCCGATCTCGGGTTGGCCACCGCTGAAGGCCGTGCGACCACCTCAGGTGGTGATACAAAGCGAACAAAAGAAACAAAGGGGTTGTGATGTCGTGGGCTGCCACGTATAGTACCGGAAACTGTATATATATATATATAGTGGAAGAAAACAAAACCTACATATGTTCAAACATAATCGAAGGCAGCATACTCCTCCCGGAGCTTGGCTCCGAGACAAATAAAAGAAATAGCTCAAGATAAGGGAGTGATAACCGTGCTCACAACCAGGCCTTCAAACAGAATATTTTGTGCACAACATACACATGAGCAATGCGTACTACCCGCTTCCTGGCTTCCTTCCCTCCCCTTCTTCCTTCCCTTCCCCCTTTCCTTCCCTTCTTCCTTCCCTTCCCTTTCCCTTTCACCTTCCCTTCTCTTACTTTTCTTTGCGTCTTCTCGCTTTTCGCCACCTTGCCCTCTTCTATTTGAAACCCTCTCGGCGGCAAATGTCATACCCTTCAACTAGAAGATTGGCACTGGCACAAGCAATTTATTCTATACATGTGTGTATTATACTTGCTAGGTGGTTGTGGGATGTCTTAGGGAAGTTCCACCACATGATTTCTGAAGGCATCTCAAGAGCTACTGCCAAGGACCCACAGATCAAACATGATCAAACCCGTTGGTGCCAGTCAGTGTGGAAAGCTGTAGCCAGTTGAGAGTCCTATGGTCCTATGGAGGGAAAACTGGTTTTCTCCTTCAAAAAAGAGTGCAAGATTCTCAGCAACACAGAACGGAGGACAATGACTGACTCACACAACTGGTACGCCAACTTGTCCTGGCAATTGCCTGGTCGACTCTTCCACAGAAACTCTGTATACACATACCTGGATCTTCCAACTATGCCAAAGGTCTGCCTCTGGGCTGCATTTTTGTGGATGAAAAGGCAAACATCTGTCACAGTTGGACGATCTATATACAGTATATACACACCAATTAGGAATCCTTTGGGGCAAAGTGATATCATGTGATAACTGGACCAACTCCATTGCAGTCCAAGCTGCCGAAGCCCCACTGGCCATAGAGAACGGTCTTGGACTTTTCAAAGTCAATGACCTCCTGCCTCGGAGGCGAGGCGAGCGCCCCGTGCTGGTTCCATGCTGAAAAATGCACCCTGCGTGCGTGGGGGCAGCTCGTATCTCGCCGGAAAAGGGGGGGTCTAGAGTCTAAAAATGCCTTAAAATGCCTTAAGTGTATCAAAGTAGCGAGTGACAAAAGAAGCATTTTGGAATTTGGGCCTGGCAACTGAACTTCGTTCGGGAGCTGACCAACCGCGGAAATACGCATTGAATTCCTTTCTACCACCGTCATCAAGGAGATCGAGCCGTGAAAAAGGCGTTAGGGGTGCCACACTTTTGTTTTGATGTTTGTTGGGATGTGTACAGCGGTTTGGATGGGTCAATGTATCCCAAGCAGCAGCTTCTTTCGCAAGGATTGCCCGCAAACCTCAGTCGATCAGTCGATCACCAAATGTGATAGAAGCTGCAGGAGAATCAGTAGACCGTTTTGGAAATCATGTTCAGGTCGAATGCTCAAACATGAGTTTCAGTGTCCATGAGCTGGCCATCTTAACTCGTACCTACAGGCCATAGAAACATCATGAAACATCAATATCATATCTCCAACAGTTGGCTCACAATATCAAATAATTAGCCCAGCTGGAGACCCCAATAGCAAGATACAAACCGGGACAAAAAGAACAATCTGGAAACAGCTGCTGTTTTCAACACATCGACCATCTCTTCCTTGGACACCATAATCACATAACCGGAACACCATCACAAAATGACCAGGGCACCATCAAAACATGACCGAGACACCGTCACAACACGATTGGGACACCATCACAACATAACCGGGACACCATCACAAGGTGACCGGGACACCATCAAAACATGACCGGGACACCGTCACAACATG